CATATACGTTTGTGTGTGTGTGGGGTGTGTGTGGTGTATGCATTTGTGTGTATCGTTCTGTGGCACTTTCACCTGTTCAGTGAGTGCCGTTTCCAAATACTGAATGTAAACCCATTATTTTAGTAGGTTTCACTCTCATCAAATTGTACAGCATTATTTTTTAAGAGTGATTGTACATGACTCGCGTGTAGTCTTGTTAAATACACAACCAGGAAATGTTTTTTTTTTCAAGTTCCTTTTATTCAAAACATTTTTCTCTACGATTTCCGTCATGTATACTTTAAAGCTTTTCATTCATAATTTTTTTTTTTTTTTTCTTTTTTTCATTCATAAGGGTTCATATTTTTTTTACAGGTGGTAAGCGACAGGTATCCTTATGAACACCGATATAAGGACGATTTTGTTGTATAGCACTTCTTTCTTGCGTAATCGCCTGGTTGTCGCACTGTTGCTGAACTGAGTGCGGCGGGCTTGCTAAACACTTAATTTGCGTCTGGTTGGGAAAAGAATGTTTGAAAATGAATAGTGTGACCTAGTTCCATCTTTCTGCTGTCATCTCACGTCTACAACCTTCGTTCGTAGATAAAGAGAAGTTTCGTTGCTCACATTTCATAATTTGTTGCTCACTCAGGAAGATTTATCCTCTATGACGAGGTGTATTCGACACTTCTATGTGTTGACTTAACTTTGTTGACGTTATATGGCTTCTTAGATTATCTAATGTTGACCCTACATCCGGGTTTAAAAATCATATTCAGTTTACTTTTCTCTCTATGTCTCTGTCTCTGTCTCTCTCTCTCTTTCTCTCTCTCTATGTCTCTGTCTCTGTCTGTCTCTCTCTCTCCTTCTCTCTCTCTCTGTCTCTGTCTGTCTGTCTCTCTCTCTTTCTCCTTCTCTCTCTGTGTTTGTCTGTCTGTCTCTCTCTCTCTTTCTTTCTCCTTCTCTCTCTTCTCTGTCTGTCTGTCTCTGTCTCTGTCTCTCTCTCTCTCTCTCTCTCTCTCTCTCTCTCTCTCTCCTCCGCATCTTCATCTACTGTTGGTAAAAATGTTGATTATCAATAGTTTTCATGGAAACTATGCAACAATTTACTATTTTTTTCCGTCCACCGCAAATATATCCAGTGATGTGTTTTTGCCAGGTGTAATGTTTGTTTGTTGAGACTTTTGACGCGAAGAAAGTCCTCCAGCTATTCTGTGAACATCTGTTGGCGTAACTCTACATATATCTTAGTAGACTTATAACAAGACATTATATCTTAGGTTGATACGTAGGCCTACAGAGTGTTTTTTGCTCGTAGGAAAGTCTGCTGCAATAACGGTCGGTTGTAAGGTCGCTCTCTCACACCACGTGACTTTCACTGCGTTCCGGTAATATTAGCTGTCGGTTGGTCACGTGACTTCTTCGCTCGAATATAGTAGTGTGACTTTTAAAGCTCAAGCTATTTTACAAAGCCAACTTCTGTAGGTATAATGGGCCCGAGACGAAAATCCGTGTAGGTAGGATGAGGTAGGACTCACTTCACATCCTTGAAGGCTGCATTTTCCTTGTGTAACACCCAGGACCCGGGGAGAGTCAATAGAAGGGAAGAAACTAATGATTCAGAAAAAAAAGAAAAGAAAAAAAAGAAGAAGAAAAGAAAAAAAAGAAGAAAAGAAAGAAAGAAAAAAAAAATATATATATATAATATATATATATTATATATATAATATATATATATATATATATATATATATAATATATATATATATTATATATAGAGAGAGAGAGAGAGAGAGAGAGAGAGAGAGAGAATCAGAGGCTCTTGATTCACAGATTCTTCTTAGTTGAGGTGCGACGAAAGAGGTTAGGCCCTGTTCAGACGAGCGACTTAAGTGGCGCGACTGCTAGAAGCGCGACTGCCAGGTCAATGGAAGTGAATCGCCACTAGTGTGTGCGCTCCTATTCGCTTCCATTGACCTGCCAGTCGCGCTTCTAGCAGTCGCGCCACTAAAGACACCCAGAACCTGTGCGTGTACCTCCGTCTATCTCTATTTACTTTCTTCGTTCTTATCTCTTTCTCTCTCCCTCCTTCTTTAACGGTAATAAGAGATTTGACTGACATAAATAGATACAAATAGCTATTATATTTATTTATGGTTTGGTGGTGAAGGTCATGTAGTCACAAGTGGGTAATTTTTTCGACAGACGTAAACACACTGAGTATAGTGAGAGAGTTTCCAGGTCACGAGCGTAAGTCACGAGGGCAGGTCAAAAGGTCAGGTCACAAAAAGCTAGAAGGTTAAGCTGTGACTGCTGGAAGAAGAGAGAGGGGGGGGGGGGAGGGTTCGAGACAGATCTCCGTGAATATGTTTCTGAGTAGAAGTGAACAGTTCTGAAAGCTCACACTTAGATTTCATAAGTGGGGTCATTGCTTGTCCCGGTGTAGCTCTGTCTATCTGTCTATTTTTGTTCTCTCTTCTCTATATTTCTATCTCTGTCTCTATCTTACCCCCTTCTCTCT